TACAAAGGTTCCAGCTGTTCAATTCTACATTTGCACTTTTTTCATTTAATGTTTTCCCCTTTCTTTATGAACAGTGACACTTACATTCCTAGCTAGCAACCTCAGGATTTCTTACTACTGAATAAGTGATGCACTATCAATGTGAATTGAGTGTCAGGAGAAACTGGGCGCCTTTCTTTCTGCTGCTACTTTTTGCTAGAGTCAAAATTTGGTCCACTAGCCTCCCTGCAGGCGAAATGAGCAAAGACACTGAGTAGGGCCCACTGTCCTGTCAAATACAGAGCTGTGTGGCTGCATCTTCTGCATCAAACACATGCCAGCACCTCCAGGAGAAAGTCTGCACCATAAGGATCCTTCTTCTTGTAGGTCATGGCCACTCTGAAGTAGGGGGTGTGGATCTGGGCTCAGCACATCCACACTGTGGATTATAAATACTACATGGGATACCCAGATTGAGTTTCCAGCTCCTGGTTTTCACCTGGTCTAGCCCCAGTCACTGCAGGCATTTGGGAAGAAACGATCTCTCTCTCTCTCTCTCTCTCTCTCTCTCTCTCTCTCAAATAATTAACTTTAAAAATTTAAGAAATTTTAAAAAGACAATGTATGAGACCAGTTAAGTAAATCAACTTCTTCAGTCAGGTTTTCTTCATCTGTAAATGTGTTTAACTCATTATCTCCAGAGAGAGGACTGTAAATGTGGTAGGAATATTGAGTGAGCATTTGGTCCAGTTCATGGCATGTATTAGAGGCACAATAGACGTTATTTTTGATGAGAATATCATGATGATTTTTCTGGCTCTTGAATATGTTAAATGGAATTTGCAGGAGACAGAATTATGGCATGGTAGCGTAAAGCCAGTTAGAGTGGTCAAAACCTGTTCAGTCCAGGGTTTTCACTTCCTAGCTATATAAATCCTCTTCTGCAGCTGAATGCTGGGCTTCCTATGTGCCTGTCGGGGGCTGGCAGGACCATGTGTGATTGTGCAACTGTGCCGGAAGCACAGTCTTCATTTCTGCCTGGCACAGCCTGCTGAGGCGACAGCCAGCTCTGTAGCCTCGGCTCCTACGTGGTGGTTGGTCTGAAGGGTGCTGACAACTAAGTTGCACCTTGTCTGTCCGTGCATATGGGCTTTTTGCTATTGGTAGGGGATATGGAAAGTTTTTCAAATCCTGTAACTTGCACCTCCAATTGTGAAAATGGATGTACAGTTAAACATAAAAAATGATACAGTCTGTTGATCATCATCATTAATAGGATTAATCAATCAACATTTTCTCAACTACAGATTTGTAATAAAAGATGACTTTGTTATATTACAGTAACTAAATATGAATATCATACATAATAGATGATTCTATAAGATGTGGATATTAGTATTTTCACTACAATTATCAACAGCATCATAATATAGGTAGCTTTTATATTTAAGGTATCTATTGGGGAAAAGTTGAAATAGCAACTTAACACTGAAATTTCATTTTTTTATATAACTAATTATAAAGAAGTGACTTTTTAATGAAAATGAATAATAGTTATGTTTATGTATGTATTCCTAGAGCTTCTATGAATACGACTACCATCCAGAACAGATATAAACCGTGTGAAAATAATAGCGTAACGGAGATGATACACAATGGAAACAAACCATGAGGTATATCCCAATTAAAATATTTGACAAGATGTCTTTGTTGTGATGGAAGATATCCTTGATTTCAAGTAATTAACTTGTCATATGGACTAAATTATTTTAATCATGTTGATGAATTTCTCTGAAAGAATGTTTCTAAGAAGTATTGGGATAATATCCTTCTTCCCATTATTTTTAAGTTTGTAGTATCAGTTTATTTGTCTTGGTGTTCTGTTTGGCCTGCTATGCCCCCTATCTAATTACTGGTATTGGTATACTTTATGTAAACCTGGAATGGGGATAAGACCATGACAAACAGCAGATCTGGTTGCAACTAGAAGGACGTTAAGCTGCTTTGATTCACTGTAACCTGATACATGACCTCATAACCACTTGAAATCTACAATGGTTACACATGTCAATCTGTTATAATCCTGCAAGATAGTCTATGTTTTAAATAATTTTCTGACTATGGCTGTGCTAAATGGCAAATGAAGTAGAACAATGTAGAGAGAAGCACAATTGAAGCAAAAAAAAAAAAACAACAAAAAGACAACTACCTAAATTACACAGATAATAAGGATAGTTTTAGGGTTATGGCCAATGTCTGTCTACTTCAACAATTAACTGTCAGGGGTCTACCAGCAGCAGGTCTTTACTTGCAGAAGGTGGGAAGCATAGCTTTCTGATGTGTGTACGTCTCCTCTCTCTGATAGATGATTAGGGTAGAAAGGAGAGGTTGGAGTTATAGTGTTTCCTACAATGGAAGTTAGCCTGAAAGGAGTTGACTACTTGGAAGAACAATGTGAAACATTTGACTAGGGCTGGGATCAGCCAGCTGTTAGCTGCAGATGGGATTTAGTCAGCTACATGTTTTGGGGCATAAGGGTTTCTTGGGACATAGCTCTTTCCATTAATGTGGTTCCTATGATTGCTTTCAAGTTACAAAGGCAGAGCTGAGAAGCTGTGACAGTGGCCAATGGCCCTGCAAAATACTTGCTATCTGGATCTTTATGGAATTTGTCAACATCTGAGGAAAGGGTTCTTGTTCAGCAATTCTGCAAGGAGATACATTAAAATTGAGATCTGGTATTCTCCTATCTCAGTTCTCTTTCCTTACATGGAACTGACTTGGATTTCAGTTGTCACAGGCTGAGGCATGGCACAGTCTGAACCAATGAATTAAGGCAAGATAGCCTGTCGCTCCCCGTCTTCGTGGAGGAACGACACAGGACCCTGCGCTGTTCTTTCGTCTGCTCGGCCCTCCCCGGGTTTGCTGCTGGTTCTTCCCAGGTCGGCTACCGTCCCTTCCACCTCCGTGGAAGGGCGGTTCCCCCTGCCACATTCCCCACTTCCGCGGGGGAGCGGCACACCGCCGGCCGGCTCTCTCGGGGGCTGCACAGGTGTTCCTTCAGATAGATGTTCCCCTTAGATGTTCCTGGTGCATGCCGTCTCTCTCCTCCTTTATAGTCCTCCTCCGCCAATCCTAACTCGGCTGCCCACACGCCGAGTACGCTGCTCTCCTCCAATCAGGAGCAGGATCAGCTCCTGGAGGTCATCACTCAAGTTGGCAAGAGGCAGCTGCGTAGAAGCTGTTTTCTCCTCTCCCAGCGCCATATTGTGGGAGAGCAGATGCATAGAATAAGTCTTAATTCCAGTAACAGTCCAGTCCGGGTTGCTCCCCACAATAGCCCTACCAGAAACATTCAGTGTTAAAGTGCTCAGGAAATATAGCTGAATTATTATTGAAATGCATGGACATTTTAATTGATTTGCACATTAATGAGACTCAGTGACCTTATAACTGTTTACTAATGATTTCCCGTTATATTTGCATTTGGAGACACCTGGACATAATTATAGTGGGGTTTTTTTTTGTATATATTGTGTGTGCGTGTAATATTAAACACTGGATACTATGCTAGAAGCTGGCATGCCAGCAAATGAGCTGACCTCACCTTGACTGTGGATCTGGAAATGACTCACTGTGGTGCAAATGAAAATGGTGTGTTAAGTATTCCAGACCTGTGCTATGAAGGAGATGCTCAAAGGCAGGAGCACACAGTTCTTACTGACCTGCGCATCTACCACACAGAGAAGGGACTGACTCTTAGGAAATGCTCAGGGGCCAGGGCACAGGCATTAAGCTCCTGCTGGTGATGCCAGCATCCCATATCGGAGTCCAGTTCAAGTCCTGGCTGCTCACTTTTGATCCAGCTCCTTGCTAATTTGCCTGGGAAGGCAGTAGAAAATGGCTCAAGTGCTTGAGCCCCTGCCGCCCACGTGGGAGACCAGGATGGAATGTCTGGTTCCTGGCTTTGGCCTGGCCCACATCTGGCTCTTGCGGCCATTTGGGGAATGAACCAGCAAATGGAAGCTTTTGCTCATTCTCTCTCACTCTCTGCCTGTATGCCTTTCAAATAAATAAAATAAACCTTTTTTAAAAAAGCTTGGTAGTGATTTCAGTATTATTACAAAAACAATTTGGCAACAAAGCCATCAGTCTTTCTAGACTGTCATTGCTAATCAGAATATGGGTGGAGAAAATGGAGGTAGATCTTGTCAGAGAATGTGAAAGTCTTTTGTTTTTCAGTTTCTGCATTTTTTGGGTAGTTTGCTTTCCATAAGGAAGATGTAGGTTTTTCTTTATCCAAATAACTCAGGAACAGTAAACAACAATAAAAATTAAAAAAAAAATCCCTGTCAGAAGACAGCTGAAAAAAAAAATCACATCTATCTTTTGGAAATTATGAATATTTCTTGGTGTTCCTAAGAAAAATATGTATGTATTATTTAATCTCTCATAAGTTCTTTATCCTGAATAAAAGGATATGCAGAAGGGATAACTGATTCTACGATAAGATCTACTAATGCAAATAATCTCCAAGAGGTAATATAAAAGTGACATCTGTTAAAAAGAACATTGTTAGTTTGAAACAGGATCCTCAAAGAAAAAAATACTAATTTTTAATTCCATCCTTCAACTGGAAAGTATGGCTGATTCATTTAATTGCTTTAACAGTCTGGTTTAATGGAACATTTCTTTTACACAACTAGTCAGCTCCCAACATTTTGATTGCAAAATGAAAGGCATTTACTTTGATATCTTTAATTATCACTCATTTAGAGGACAGTGTGAAACACACTTTTCCAATTGGTGTTTTAGAATTGTGAGTCAAGGGAGAGCGATGACAAATTAGTCAGCTGGAGAGGCAAGAAACAGCTCGCTGGAGCTGCTAGAGTCTTCGTGGGTACTTCAAAGTAGGATAAGAGGGAAATAAAGGGACCGTTAGCCACACATGCTCAATATATGTAATACTAACACAATTTCACAACATTAATAACAAGTTAATATCACACTTAGAGACTTACTCAACATAATAAGTGCCATATATGGGATCATCGATTTTTTCCCAGCCATATGGAAGCTCTGAAAAATAAAAAGTTATTGCTTTCAGTCAATAAAGGGCAGATACCACAATTTCTAATAAAAGGTAATATAATTTAATTGTTCACGGATTGAAAGGAAATGGTCTACCAAAGTGGAATAAAGCTTTCAGAGTCAGCACCAAATTTCAGACCATATTGCGGGAACTATAAGAAGCACTGACTTGAAAATTGGCAGTTAAGACACGAGCTCCCTTCTCTGCAGAGATACTGCTGGATCTAGCTGTTTATCCCATGCCAAGCAGTAGGAAGGTGCATCATCACATCATCACCATTCAGGGCAATACAGACGGCAAATCGCTTTCCTGAAAGTGCATACGGCTCTCTTATTTGTTTAGATCATTAGTGGAGCAGTTCAGGATAAAGATCATATTTTCAAAATACATTCTGAGCATAGCAAATTGTTTCTGATGACCGAAACAAAGACATTCTAAATTCTCAATTGATATCCCACTACTTGAGACGGTTAGCTTGCTGTTCACACCGTGTGGGGTAGACTTTGAATGCTGCCAGTATACCCTCCCAGCATATTTTTTTTAAATAAACTCTAATATTCTAAACATGCTTTCCTCAACAATGTGGTTCATATTTCCAATTCTCCATGGCTAATTTTAATACACACACATTTCAAATATCAACAACACTATAAATGCTACTGCTGGCAAAGGCATGCTGTTTATAAGCTAGATTTTCCTTCAAAATGCTGTTTTCCACATATACTGAGCCTTTATCAAGAACGCCTACAGATATGAAGAATGCTGTATTTTTCTTGATTGTTATTAATTTTACATTTAGAATTGAAATCTATGTAATATATTTTGATGCACTTAAATCACATATTTAAGTAAGATTTAAAAGTTTTATTATTATAACATTAATCTAACTCACTATAGCCAAGCACAGTTATATAAAGAAATTTAAAGTTGCTTGCAATTCTGCTACCCAGAGATAACCACTGTTGATATTTTCATGGGTATCTTTCAAGTAGTTTCCTCTGTATATATAGGTAAACTATTTGTAAAGAAATTACATAATGAGGTATATATTATTTTTACAATCTGCTATTTCTATTTTATGTCATGGCCATCTCTGCTTGTGAATCAATGAGAGGTTGCTGAGTGGGAATCTGTGGTATGATGGGAGCCTGGGTAATTCTGCCAGTCTTCTATGATTTGAAGATTTGGGACCTTCCAGTTTTTATCCATGCACGCCATCTGTGTTGGACTTACCAAAACTTAAACCTTTTCTTTCTTTTCCTAATAACTTAGTAACCATAAGTGCATACTATGGAATTTTGGACTAAGGGCTTGTACCTTTTCATGGGTTCTGATATACATTGTCAGATTTTCACCTTCAGACTCACAAAATTTCACTGGGAGGGAATGAGTGATTTTTTCCCCCTCTGTCCCATCAAATTAAACACAGACTTAACAATTTGTCGTTTAAAACTTTTAGGACATACAAATTTTTAAATTCAGAATTCTTACAATATCAGAAATCTAATATGATATAATTGTCTCTATTTCATAACACTCTAAGACACTTTTTAAAAATTGAGCACATGGACCTCTCTGCAGCCAAGCATGTGTGATTCATATGACAAGAGACGCGTTAATAAATTAATGACAGCAAAATGTTTGAGTATGTTGAGAAATCTTTCTCTCAGAATGATAATGAGCAAACATTTACTGGGTATCGATGATGTTTCCAGTGCTGATGGGGTTTTTATGCCATAATTCATTTCATACTGCCAATACCTCAGGATTCAAAATCTCTACTCTGGCACCAGAAATCTTAACCAAATCAGATATCAATTTAGGAACTCTGTTTAACATAGTATAAACACCACTTAATTTACATTTAGGAGAATGACTATCTAGATGTTTTTCATTGAATGCCCCAAGCTACTGGAGAAATTTGACTATGAAAAAGAAAAATTCATTTGACAAACATATACTGAATGCTTTTTACAAGCAGTAAAAGAGCATGCAGAGGATAGCAACTGGTTTCATGAAAATGAATAATTAATATGGTTCAGTGCACAGACACATATATGTAACTGGTTTAATATCATCTCACAAATGCAATTAACATACAAAATAATGTTCAATAAAATGAAGAGCAAATGCCTAACATGGTTAACATTACAGATAACAGTCCTACTTCTTAACACATCATAAGGAGACATTTCCTGGTGTATTATTTTTAATTATCTTTTTCTAAAAAGTCAGAATTACACAGAGGCAGAGAGAGAGAGAGAGAGAGAGAGAGGTCTTCCATCTGCTTGTCCACTCCCCAATAGACCGCAACAGCCAGAGCTGCACCTATCCGAAGCCAGGAGCCAGGAGTGTCTTCTGGGTCTCCCTAGCGGGTGCAGGGCAACTATGTGTAAGCGTCAGTACCTGTGCATATGTGTGTATTTCCAGTAATATGCTAGAATGTTAATTAGAAACCACAATGTTTACAAGTTTTCATCACTTAAAAAAAGACAAGTCATAAAATAAACTTCTTGAGATTATAAACTTAAGGGTACACATCTTCTAGATGAAGAAAATTTAAGAAAGTTTTAAATTCTATCCTCCTGTAAAAGTAAGGTATTTGGACGTGAATTAACTTTAAAAAACCAACCGTTTCTTCTTTAAAATAAGCTAACACATGAGAAAAAGAATTTCCAATATTATATTATTTTGCCCAATCAGGTAAGCATGTACCTTGAAGCTCTTGGGTGCTCGGTTATTTAGAATACAGTATTCAACAACACCTGACAAATCTGTGGATGATTAAGGTTACACTGATGAAAGAACAAAATATACTATGCAACAGGGAAAACAAATACTTGAGATCAGGAAGGTTAATGCTGTATTAAGAGTGGTTTTAATTGAAATTTTCTTCAGGCCATGGAACCACAGAGCAAAATCAATGATTAGATATTTCTATCTTTCAAAGTCTGTTTAAATGTCTGGATTAATTTGTAGTCAGTCCTATTTCAGCTTGCAAAATTAGAATAGACTGAAAATATAAATGGGAATGCAGTTTTGTCTGGATTCTGGCACATCACAATTCTCTCTTTCCATGCATATGTAGTACTTAATATATTTATGTCAAATTATTAATATCCATTTATTCATATAGTATTAAGTCATTCACATTAATATATAATGAATTTATTATTATTACATATTTCTTAATTACTCTTTCCAAATATTACTGTTACATTTTTTAGCTCAGCCCATTTTCATTACAGAAAACAGAACCCATTTATGCTGGTTCTCAAAAAGCAATTTTCAGGCTATAAATGGAAAGTTGGTAGAAATCCAAGGACATTGTTTCTTATGGAAATGAACCCAAATACTGGAGAGCAAGAGGAAGCTACACTATGATACATCTCAGAAGGATCTTGTCTGTCTCTCCATGTCTGCCTTGTGAACAACATTCGTTATCTCTGTGTGCTTGTTTCTCCTTCAGTTCCTTTTCACTCTTCTGACTGGTTATTGGCTATTTATTGGCTATTGCTCATCTTGTACACATCAGGGAATGGCTACCCCATTCCTGGCTGCCTACACTTTTATCTTAAGCTACTTTGGTCCTTCAATTTTCCAGTTTTATATTCCATCCCTCTAAAGAATTCATTGTCCAGCTCATTTTCTTCAGAACAGATCTAAGTTACTTAATCTGGTTAGTCAATATTATAGCTCCTTTTAGGTCAAATGTCACATCTTAGGCAATAATGCAATTTAAAAAGAGAAGAGAGAAAAAGAAAAATAGAATGGCCAATGACCTCACTGGTAACAGGTGGGAGACACAGAATATCATTTAAAACTGAGAATAAGGACCGTATAAAAAGTATCAGTTTAAAGGCAAATATTAGGACACAACTACAATGGTTCTGAATACCAAAAAAAAAAAAAAAAAGAAGAAAACAGGCCACAAGGAGAAAGAAGCACAACCAATATAATATCACATGGTCAACAAGTATGTAAGTGACTAATAAAGAAAAACATGACTCCATGCCGTAAAAAAAAAAAAAAATAAAAGAGATACTATTTAATGAAGTGATTCAAAAAGGCTAAAAATAAATAAGTAGGCAAAGATGTGCCAGACAAAAATAAAACAATAAGAAAATGAGTTTTACAATCTTGATATCAGACTAAGAATTCCAGTCAGAAACATTAAATATGAGAAGGAACCCTACACTACAATAATGAAATTCACAACTTATAGTGATACAGTTATCACAATCTGGAAACCAAACAATATAAACCAGCTTTTAAATGGTAATTAAAGGAGTAGAAATAAGAAATAGAATAACAAATACTATGACTGCTCTCAGTGTAAGAGATCAAGTTGACAAAATTACAGGTATAAAAGAATTAAACATCTTAATTAATTAGGCTGATCTTTTGGCTGTTACTCTCTTTTTCTCTCTAGTTTTATAATCTAATATTAAACAACATATAGGCTTCTCAAGAGCTAATGAACTGTTTTCCAAAATTATCTATTTATTAGATTAGATATGTCATAAGTTTCATGAAGCAGAAATTATACAAATAATAATAATCTGATTATCATGCAATAAAAATTAGTCATTAATATCAAAATCATAATCAAAACAACCTTTGCCTAGAAATTAAAATCTTTAAAGAACTGTTGGGTCAAAGAAGAAATATAAACTGAAATCAGATTTTTTTAAAAAAAGGATGACAGTGAAATTACTAAATATGTAAGAAATGATGAAAACAGTAATCAGAGGAAATTTTACAGCATATGTATATGGAAGAATGGAAATAATGAAAGCAAATTGCCAATTTAAAAAGTCATAAAAATAACACAATATATCATCATTCACTTCAGTCACCTTGCTGTACAATAAATCTTTTGAAATTTATTCCTCCTATCCAACTGTAATTATGTACATAGAATAGATGTTAGGTACTCTCACCACAATAATGGTGACTGCATGAGGTAACATATTTGATAATTAGC